TTTTTTTGAGACAGAGTATCACTCAGTCAGGCTGGAGTACAATGGCGTGGTATCAGCTCACTACAACATCCGCCTCCTGGGTTCAAGCAATTCTCCCTTCCTCAGCCTCCCGAGTAGCTGAGATTACAGGTGCCTGCCACCATGCCGGGCTAATTTTTGTATTTTTAGTACAGACAGAGTTTCACCATTTTGCCCAGGCTGGTCTCGAACTCTTGACCTCAGGTGATCTGCCCGCCTCAGCCTCCCAAAGTGTTGGAATTACAGATGTGAGCCACTGTGCCCAGCCTACATATCATTTTTAAAAATATGAGCAAGTTGTAACTAGTTAGAACTTTCTGCTTATCTTCTAAATAAAAACTGTTCTGTCGGTTTTTGCCTGTGATTCCAGAAAATCAAAAATTTTTTCATCTTTTTCTCTTTATTTTTATTTGTGTGTGTGTGTAGAACTTCAACTTGTCATTAAATTTACAAATTTACCAGCAAGTTCTTACCTTCCTAGCATGCTTATTAAAAAGATTCCTTACATCTTCTTGGTAGTCTGCTAAAGCAGAAATGGTTTCTGTGATTATTACAGACTCTAATGTAGAAAATAAATAAATAAATAAAACATAGTTTTCTCCTGTTAGCTGTCTGTACCTTCAGTTATAATTTTATTTGCTTGATACATGGAAACAAATTGCAAGCTTTATGATTATAACCATTTATTAAAGTTTGTCTTAAGAAAAAAATCCATAATGTTTTTCAAGTTGTAAACCATGACATTCAGAATATTCTTCTGAAGCATTAAAACTATTTTTCATTAAGACCAAGAAAAATTTTTACCAAAAGAAACAAACTATTATGGGTTTTAATGATATAATTTTTCAACTACAGGGGAGGATATATTTCTTTTTGCTAATGCTACCCTCTAGTGGAATAATGGGCAACAGAAAAGAGCGTGGTTTTGGAGTGCTGAGCGTATCCTTAATTTAACTGCAGAATAGAACATTTGCACAGAAGCTGATTTATGTATATTTTTCTTCAGATGTCCCTGAGCATAAATAAAATTAACTATTGATTATGCTTGTTGGCATTGCATTTCAATACATTTCTCCTCTTGAAATAATGCATTGTGGAAAAACTGTATGCAACTAGCTGCATTTGTAGCCACAATAAAAGATTATAACCCCAAAGTATGTACAACGTGTCATTAAAAGAAATACTACTACAATAACTACGTTAATTTATTCTTCATCCTGTCAATAGAAAATAAAGGGGGAGGAGAAACAATCTTTTCATAGTCTTCAGTCATTGACAGCCTTAGGTGTGTGTCTAGTCAGTTTGTGAATCCACTGTAATTTAAGTTAGAAGGTGAATCCAATTAATACTTCCCAAGCAAATAGAAACTTCATTGTATTCAACACTGTGAACCGTGTTGACATACCTGGAAAAGTATATACATTTTTTTTGTTTGTTTGTTTCTGAAGAATCAAGTTTTCCAAAAAGTACCTTGTGACATTAAGGTTTTAAATTTACCCTGAGAGTAATAAAGAATAAAATGTATAAGAACATAACGAGCTCAGTGGAAACTCACGCATGGAAAAATTGCAGTGTTGGGCTCCTTCCTTTCTAACCTTCAGAAGTTACAATTTAGGGGTGCTACAGGATTTCCACACCTTTAGTTACCACAGCCACTCATTAAGTTAATTGACACTCTTGGAAAGAGCACAAAAAAGTGTGAATGCTAATGTTTTACATATTTACCCCCTGCATGGAGCCTCAAGATCAATACCCTTCACAGTCCTCATTATAGACAACCAAAGCTTCTAGGTTCATTTACTTGTTCAGATTCTAAAGTGCATAATTTATTTTAAAAATCTTTTTCATAGAAGAGATTGTGAATACTATATTTCAAAACAGAAGAAATGGTATCTTTTATTTTTCAGTTTTGTGTACGGTTCAAGTTCTCCTATTGGAGTATGCAGGTTTATTCCTATTGACTACTCAGAACCCAACTCTATGGTTAATATAAAAAGAAGGACTGTTTGATAGTAAGAGATAATTATTCTGACTTCTTTGCAAAAAGAGAAGTTTATGATCTGTTAATTTATGTATTCCCAACCTAATACTGTACAGGAAAATTGTTGTGTCTAAGCAAATATCAAAGAATATGTAGAATTTTTTAAATTTTGTTTTTACTAACAAGTGAGAAAAAGGTGACTTGGAGGGGAAGAACAGATAATTAACAAATTTAAGTTTCAGATCAAATATGTTTGACCCACACTTCCCAAAACACTCTAGGGGGGTAAGGATTATTAAAATATTATAAATAAATAAATCTGCCATATGAATAAGCATTATTTATTGACAAAATATAATATACAATTGTCTATAAAAGATAAGATGATTCAGAAAAAAATGGTTTTGCTTTCAGGGGACTTGATTTATTATTTTAGCTCTGACAAATAAGCAGATTAATTTAGTTAAAGTCACTAGCCTATCTGCGGATCAGTATTTTTACTAGCTTAATGGCAGTTAAACGACACAAAGACAGGGATATCTTTTCCTTGAGTCACAACAGTATCCTCACTGAAGTGCTAAATACCTGATGAAAATGGGAAATACCTGATAACTATTTATTTCATGAACTTGACAATGCATGAGTAACAATGTATATATAGCTCCAAATTGGAAAAATAAAATAAGATACATATAAATTGCTCTGAAAAAAATTCAGTAAATTAACATTGTTTTCTGTGTATAAATATATTTATTCTTAAGTGTCATTATTGTAGTGCACTGCAGAGAAAATCTCCTTTTACCGTGTAAAATGGCAACAAAGGATGTTTCTCAGTTTGTAGCTGAAATGTTCTAATCATAGTATTATGTTAAGTATATAAAATAATTTACATAGCTACAAAAACATATAAAGAGCATTAAAAAAAAAAAAATCCTTTACTCCTGCTTCACAGAATGTAGCTTTTAAAGAAACTTGTTCTTGTTTTCAAATGTTAAAATGTTACCACTTACCATTAGAAGTTCGAAAAAATTCAAGGGTCACTTCAGTCTCCAAAAGGTATGTTTTTGAGGGTGAAAAGCTGTATTCCAGGGGAATGGCCTTCAGTTGATATCCACACATTAATATTGTATGAGAACTCTGACAGTTTCCTCCGAGGTGCCAGTCTGAAGTGAGAGTAATGGAATTGAGAGGATGGAAGGCTGACAGTGGCAAATGAGTTGTGTGATATGAAGAGTGGGAGTCAATCTAGTAACTGTATCCCTAACCTGGTTTCAACGGAAGTAATAAACTCCTAATTGTGTTTTACAGGATATGAATGATTATCCTCCTGTCTTTAGTAAACGAATATACAAAGGGATGGTGGCTCCAGATGCAGTCAAGGGTACACCTATCACAACAGTTTATGCTGAAGATGCAGACCCTCCTGTAAGTAGAAGGCATTGATTAACATTCTGAACTGTACTGAGAAAAATCCTTAACACTCATAAATGACCCAATCACAAGACAGCAAAAGTAGTTTCTGTGAATTTCACCCTATTTATTCACACATTTTATGTTATTTTGCTTATTTCTTCCACAGGTACACAGCATATTTCAAATGACTATGATTGAACCTAGACAATAAAGAATATGCTTTTTGTTTTTCTAGAATGCGCAATGAAGTATTTACTAATTTATCTAACAATGATAAATATAGGTAAAAAGAATTGTCTACATTTGTAAGCTTCACTTAATCTGGATATGTTTTCAATTTATGTATTTTCCATTGTATGCATATATGACTATTTTGTTAGCAAACTCCAAATCAACACATCACATAAAACTTATATTGAATATGTTTATTTTGGTAAATTAAAAAGCTTAAGATTGCTTATAGAAAATAAGTAACAGATTCTTCTATCATACAGAACTTTACTGCTTTTGAGAATTCCAAATTATATTTCAAGGCAAGGTTTTTAATTATTATTAGAGCAGGAGTGATAAAATACCATATAGAATTAATAGCATACATATAAAAAATGCTTTCTATAAATACCTTGAGTGTTTTATAAATATTAATTATTATCCTAAGAACTGAATGATGACTTAAATTTTTCTTTGAGCGTGTAGGCTCACACTGTAAGTTGGTGGCTGACAAATTTTAGAAAAATACAAATAAAAGTTAAATTAACTATTTTAGAAGAGTAAGAAAATAAAATCCTGAATCTTATAATTTAAAAGTTCTGTTTTCTATTGCTAATATAAATAGTATTTCTTTTAATGCTTGTATTTAATTAAAGGTGAATGGCCATCATAACATTTTTCACCTTCAATTTGGACAAGTCTTTATAAACTCTATTGTGACTATAAGGAATCAAAATATACTAATGTTAACATGAAAGTGGTGGGCTTTAATTCAGTAACTCCTTTTCTTAAGTGTGTTAAAATGTCTTTGAAACTGCTCTATTGTGTTTTGGGATATATGATAGTCAAAATTTCATAGACTTGAACCCATCAATAGAGATGGTGAATGTGAAACTGGCAATTTGTCTGTTTTTTAAGTACATTGTAACATGTACAATATACTTTGAAATTAGGAATATGTATTCAATTTTATTCAACATATGTGTTTTTAGCACCAACTATATACTGGTCATTGTGGTAACCAGTTTTTGCTCTCAAGAAACTGAAAATTTTATAGAAAAGACAGAATTGCAAATAGAAACCATAACACTCTGTAATAAATAAGTATAAGCAAACACAATACTCACATACATTTTTTAAAATTTTTCATCAGCACAGAATTTAATATAGAGTTTAACGGCGTTAATGATGAGAGACTAAAAGTAGCGCTATTTTTCACCTACATAGGACAGCCCTCAAAGTCTTCATATAGACAGTAAATTCCTTACTTCCCTTTTGGTACTAATGACTGTGGTGCCTGGCTTGGCATTCAGAGCACAGCCACCAAGGTGCAGAAAGTTGTCTTGGTCTGCTGTCTGTTCTATAAAGAAGATAAATTACTTATCGATAGTATTTATCTAAAGAGAAAGCTCTGTTTTTACACTTTGAAGCCCTTTTATATAAATTTGCCAGATTTAAATTTCATGTTTCTTTGGAAGAGGTTTTCAGTTTTGCATTCCCAGCAGTAATTTTTAGAGTTTAATAATTGATGTTGGCCTTTCATTAGATAGAAAGTGGATACCAGTCATTCAATTGACATACTGAGTCTATTTACTTCAGTTGAGTATATATTTATTAGACTCAGTTTTCCCCCTTGAAACACCAACAATCTTTTGATATAGCTATGAGCAGAACTGAGGTTTTGAATCGTTGCTGCAAATTGGATCCCTTAAGTGAGCATAGTTGCAATTTGGTTGCACCTGCACGAATCCTAAATTAAAGCTCAATTCCAGGAACATTTTTGAAATTACTATATTACATAATTATTTTTTTAAATGTTATGCTTGATTTTTACCCTTATTTTATGCTGGTACCATAAAGACAGAATAATTATTATTCGGATAGGCTTGCCAAGTGTTTTCTACTCTGTTACTGTTATAAATGTTTATTAGTTAGAAGAAAATAGTTTCAACTTCATGTTCTTCAGGGATCTTGTGCCACTACCTGGGGCTGTAAGTATCTATCTTAACACTGTAGGTTTATTTGATAGTCTCTCTTCCGAACTAGAACGTAAGGTCCTTGAGGGCAGGAATCAAAATTTATTTCAGTTTGTATTCCCATGTCTAACTCTAAGCCTGCTACTTACTAGTCTGCCAGGAAACATTTGTTGAGTAATAGGTGAATACATAAATGGTTATTCTGTATTCTTCAGGATTGACAAAATGTGCCAGATTTTCAGAAATTTAGTTTTATACTACCCTAGAAAAAATTCTTAATATCTCCAAGACTTAGTTTGGCCATTTAAGGGCTATGAGAATTAAATGATTGATGTATATACATGCTCAACCAGGCTTCTGAGCCACATATATTAGGTATTACTATTATTAAGCAATAATAATTTTCATTTATAGAGGTTGGCCACATCGTTTTCAAGGCATCCTCTTTCTTTTGAATGAAGTGAGAACCACTCATTTTAAACTATAAAATGACACCACCGAAACTTTTTGAACTATCAGAGAAACTGGAAAAACTCTGAAAGCCAGAGAGAGCGTTGTTGTTGAATATAAATGAAGAATTATAAAATACATGTTTTGCAAAACCGAAGTGCTCCTGAGGGAGGAAAAACATATTCCAGGAACTTTTCCCCCTACTGAATTAAAGCTGAGAGGATCTGTTTTTTCTACCTTGCTTTTGTGACAGCGTTGACATTATGTAGTTCACATGGGACATGGATAGTGAATGACTGATCATTTTGGAAATTAAAAATGACTAACCTATTATTTCTTTTCACCACGGATGTCTCATTCCCAAATTTGACAAAACAAAACTGCAGGTGTAATATTTATTTTCATAGTTTTGTTCTTTTTGAAACTGCTTTTATGAGGAGATTTGGGGGAACAGGGTTAAATGGTGACAGAATAGTGTCCTTTGTGAGTATGTGAACATGGAATAATTGGGATAAATAAATGGGGTTTATGTTTCATCTTCACTTCATCTCCAAGAAGTGAAGCATTATTCATACCATTCCTTACATTTGATATATTTTAGGAATTTATAAGGTTCTTATTTAAAGTAGGGTAGTAATTGGAACATGTTTAATATGAGCAATTTTGCCCAACTTTCATATATATGCATTGTGAGAATTATGTAGACATTTAAGACTTCTTTTCAGGCTTTGATACTGATTTATGAAATAAATATGCTCCATAAAACTTCTTACAATTTTTAATAGTTATGGACTTTAAAATGAGTTCCCAAATACTTAGTATTCTCACTATACTTTTTCAGAAAGTATACATATAAAGATAAAATCATTACAACTGTGAAGTATTTTATTTCCCTCTGTTGAGATTTTGAGAGCTATTGTAGCCTTTCAGAGTTTAGATGAGCTACCTGAGGAATTATTTGCAAAGGGGTTTTAACACCCATCTGTCAAGGGTACTTTTGTTGATTTGTAGAGAATAATAAAAAAAAATGGCCAGTTCTTTTTTTCTATAATGTATATATGTTTTATTAAAATGTCATGATGTTACCCAGCATGCTATGTAATTATGGACATCTCCCAATGCTTAACCCTCCAAATAGTCATTCTGTTACAATCTATTTGTGGAGAGTGTTAACAGCAGAAAGAAAGTCATCTTTATCTGCAATTTGCTGCTTGCTTGGTTTCGTGTGCCATAGTTAAAACTATTCAGGACCAAGAGTGTTATAAAAATGTATTTTTCTTTCCAGATAATATAGTTTTTCTGTATCATTTTCAATTGATATCACTACTGATCTATTTTTCATGACTCACCACATACTGGCTCGTGTTATTGTGTATTGATTTAGGTTATTGCTAGCAATGTAGCAGAAACTCTGATTTTTAAGATCAGCAGCTACTAACTATGATTTCTTACCCAGGAGCATGAGGAGGGAATATACACAGCTCAGTGTTGTTGCTTTTTTTCCCCTTAACATCAAAGCTGTTAGGGAAATAATCAAGAACTACTTTTACTGTGAATGTCAGCTTGTGAAAATTGACATGATATAGTCCCAGCCTGACTCCCATTGGTCTCAAATACTTAATTAGAAAGAAGTCACACCGTGAAACAGTTGGGGCTTGATCTTTAAAACGGCAATGGAATAGAATTAGATTTGAAAGTGTAAACGGGTATAAAAGGGAAGGGAATTATAAAAGGGAAGGGAATTACATTTCCTAGGCATAATAATTTGTGGTGCCTTAATTATATTTCCTAGGCATATTTACAACAGCTATTTATATTTTCCATATTTAAACCTATGTATGACATACAACACTCCTTTTATATTCTGACCTATCCACTCTTAACCTCTTCATTTGCTGCATCTCTTAGTTAATTATGTCTTCAATTTATTGAGGATATACACTTTGTAAGTTCTTAATGAAAAATGATTATATTATTAATAATACTTGAAATTAATATTAGAATTAATAATTCAGATGTAAATAATGATCTTTTAATTTAGAAACTGTCATACTTACCAGAGCTGAAGGGCATTTTTCTTTTGTTATAAATGGAAATGTGGGTAAAATGTGTTTGTTTCATCCTTAACAAAAGTGTCCTTCAGATCCCATAATGTATTACTAATTAAAATTAAATCTAGCCTGAAAAATCTCCATACTCACATACTTACCAGGTAAACAAACTAAAAGCCTAACTTTAGTAGCATGTTTCCCTGTAACAACAGCTTAGTCCCAGCCAATCCCAGTAGCTATACTTTAACCACTCACAGAGGGCCAACTGTTTAAACTTTGTTTAAATAAGGCAAATGCTGAGCTGTAACCAATGCAGCTGTTTCTG